ACTATATTAACATCTGATATGTTGTGAACGTGCCAGTAGGCTACACAAAAAAGCTTACCTTCCTTTACATTCTATGTTGTTCCAGGTACTAGAGAGAGCCAAGGCAGAGAGGAGGCTCCGTTTTACATCAGCGGTCTTCTACCATCTCAGTGCCATAAAGATCCAACGAGCACTCCGATCCCATTGGGCTTTGGAGTCGGCCAAAAAACAAATCCATTCTGTCATCACAATACAGGTACAGACACAGAACCCGCAATGAATGACATTTTGAAAAAAAATCTGTCACTTCTGATGAATTCAATGAATCGGTGAACATTTCTTACAATGATTTCCTTTTGTTTTCCTAGCGATGTGTAAAGGCGAGGCAGCAGAGGAGACGGTATCTTGAGGACAGGAGGAATGTGGTTGTCGCCCAGAGAGCAGTCAAGCGTTGGTTAGCTCGTCGCTTCAAGGCGGCATCTGTCATCCAGCAAGCCGCCAGAAAATTCCTCCTCCTTAGGCGCCAGAAGAGGGTTGAACAGGGCATTGTCAAAGCTCAGGTAATTCAACTAGTGGTTCATTTTCCACAAATTACTTCTGTAAATTAAATGATAGGCTCACTGTATTTTTAGCAGGTCTTTCAATAAGAGGCCATACGAGCGTTGAAACTTTTTTTTTGTGGTTATTATTCTTGTTCATATTGGCTTTGCTCTGCTTTTAAAGGAAGGGATGAAGGACAACATTCACTCCATCCTGTTGTTTTCTTCATTAGTGGACACAGTAGTCAATAACATGATTGACCCAAAGGCATACGACATTTTAACTTCAAACTAAAACATATGATCTCATGAGGACAAAAAGGCTAAATCTTTTTAGGAAAATATAATTAAATCTTCTAATCGTCTTTCTCCTCTTCATCTCCCCTGAAGGCTCTCTGGAGAGGACACCGCTCCCGTCGACTGAATGACAATGCCGAGGTGGTGAAGTTGAGACAGCGCTTACGTGAAGTCTCCGCCTGCGTCAGAGAGGAGGACAAATTGTGCAACAAGACGTCCTCTGCCCTGGACTACCTCCTCCGATACAAACACTTCTCGTACATCCTTGAGGCTTTGAGAAACCTAGGTGAGGTTTGATCTATTTTCTGATAATGCATCCATATGATGCGACCATAAAGATTCCTGCTAAAACCAAGTAGCTTTTAAAGGAAGATTACCTATTTGGGTAGTTAATGAAAGACAGCGGTGTTTATTCTCTTACCATATCCAGATTTTTACCGTTTGGTGTGTTTTGTTCCTTGTGTGTGTGCGCAGAGACTGCAACCAGACTGTCCCCAGAGTGCTGCGAGCGGCTGGTGGAGAGCGGAGCCACAAACACCATCTTTACACTCATCCGCTGCTGCAACAGGAGCGTCCCCTGCATGGACGTCATCACCTACTCCATCCAGATCCTCCTCAACCTCTCCAAGGTACAAACCGTGCCTGCTCTGCTCATGAAATGTTGCCATAAAAAATGTATCCGGCTATCATGCTCTTGGTGTGAAAAAATAAGATAATGGAGAGAACAGTAATCTGTTAAACAATACTTTAACATTCAAAGCTACACTTCTTCTATTGATAGGAAGGTAGGGACATATACAATATATAGCTGAGTCTTTCCTATTTTGTCCTAGTTATTGAATGGACAAAGAGTTGGGCTTTCAAAGCCAAGTTGACACTTTGGTTTGAACAGTATGTTTTTTTTTTTGGTCACAAAATGCGTAATAAGATAATATTCCAACACAAATCTATCTAGCATGAGACTATCACAAAGAGTTTTGAAGTTTTCAAATCCACGTTTGCCAGTGCCCTCTTGGCTCTTTGGGACCAGGTGTGAAAAAAGAAGGTTAAAACGTTTTTTTTTAGGGGATTCAAATCTTAAACCTAACTTTCATGAACTCGAAACACAGTGAGATAGAGTTAGTGATTCAAACGAAGTCACAGACAACATCCGTCTGTACAAAGCTTTTGTAGCAACGTGCCACAAGGTAGCCAATTGTTGATGTAAAACAAACAAAAGTTCACAACATATAACTATGTATTGTGCTTAGTTCATGTTGCAGTACCTATAGTTCTACTGCACATGGTGCTGAAAAGCAGGTTATTATTTAAATGATCTGACATGAGTTATGTTCACATGTTTAACGCTAGTGAGTAAAGCTGAGGATGATGTAGAGCCACAGCATTTCTTCAACAGCTCTCACTTCCCCACAAACTTACAGCTTGTCAGTTCCTTGTTTCATGTTAGGCTCAGTTTCTCTTCCTTAAAACAGTTCAGACGGATGTGTTTTTCTAAGTTTTAAAGGTAGGGTAGGTAAGTTTGAGAAACCGGCTCGAGATACACTTTTTGTTATATTCCATGGAATGCTCTTAACATCCCGATAGCAATAAATATCTTAAGTGCTTTGACAAAAAATCCATAAAAAAATGTCATCTGTGGAAGCTGTAGTACTGTAAAAAGCACGACCAATCATCTGAGCCGGCCCGGCTAAAATAACTGGATGGCCTACCTGCCCGTCAGCCTTCCATCTGTGCACACACTTATCTCGTGCCCTCATTGGTCATGTGCGCGTTCGTGTGTGTTGGAGGAGGGGCTCTGTAAGGAAGTGGCAGATTTTTTCCGGCTGTGTATTTTCAAATTCTAGCGCACTCGAGCTGGTCTCTCCAAAATGACCTACCCCACCTTTAAGTGTAATTGTTTCTGTTCCCACAGTTTAATGCGCAACATTGTGGTAACTGCTTGAACATTCTGCAGTGTCTGCATTTTATTCATGAGGAACACATTAAGAAATAAATCTAACTATAACATTTGTAGTACATGGTTCTATGAAATATGTTTTCCAGTGATTTAAAACCTAGGGAGACTACTTGATTTACAGTAATCTATTACATGTCCTGAACTAAGTTAATTTCAGAAAGACCCTTAGATGTATTAAATACAAGTTAATTGTGTCTAATAGTTTTTTGTCAGATAATTGTGTGTTACAGGCTTAAATAAGTAGTTTACAAAATGTGGATTCAAATTGTTAGACTTGGAAATTCTGCTTTTTCAAAGTGAAACATTTTCCATTAATGGCTATACATAATGGTTAAAAAAAAAAAAGAATACAAAAAAATCTGAAGTTCAACAGTTGGTACAGCTCCACAATTAGATGTTTGTCCTCATGTGTAAATAGCAGTTTGGACTTTTAACCTTTTTTTATATTGGAAGAAGAGGGAGGAAGGTGGGGTAAGAAAAGGAATGCCAGTACATTATACAATGGCTTCAAACCAACAGATGGTTTAATCGGAGCCTTCCAAAGGAATGATGAAGCAAAAGCATTGATGGTTTTAAAAAGTAAAATATGTAGTTTGTTTGATTCCCTGTGTTTTTCTTCCTTTCCTCTCCCCCACTCTTTCGTGGTATTCCTTCCATAGTACCACAAGACCATTGAGGCAGTGTATTCGGTGGAAAACTCTGTCGAGACTCTGCTGGACCTGCTGCAGAGATACCGTGAGAAAGCTGGAGATAAAGTGGCAGAAAAGGGCGGCAGCATCTTCACAAAGGCCTGCTTCCTTCTTGCTCTCCTCCTGCAAGACAAGTACCGCGTTGTGGTCCGTAGCTCCTCTGACATAAATACTGTTGAAATATGTTATTATAGAATTCACACAACCAAATTCTAATCTGACAGAAACTGCTATTGTAGTTTTGTAATAAATGTGAACTCTCTTATTTATAGGAGGTTATGAAGCTACCCAAAGTGTTGGATAGGCTACGCAGTATCTACCGCCTCACCGCTCGCAAACACAAGATGGACGCTGAAAGAACTGTTACGAAACAGAAAATGAACGCATCAATCAACGGGAGCTTTTTCTTTCAAACGACGCCTCGTAAATCCCGCCCTGTGCCAAAGTACGTTTTTAATTTGTCTATGTACAGTAAAGTGTTTGTCTGAGATTCACAGATTTCATGTGTTTTGCAGTGGTAACTGACATCCTGTTTGTTTTTCAGATTTGCACCGGATTGGGTTCTCAGAAGGGACAAGCTCAAAGATATTGTGGATCCTCTCCGGGCCATTCAGATGGTGGCAAACACACTCTCTATTGTGTTGTAAATACAGGCTTTTAAATCTTCATTTTATCATCTCATTCTTGTGCTTCAGAAAATATAGTTTTTTGTATTTGAGGTTTTTTTTACTATTGCATTTCCATGATTTCCATGTAAATATTAAAATGGATATGTTTCTTATACACGGGCCAGTTTCATCTATCTATCTAATGGGTTTTATACTGAAATGAGGCTGAACAGGTGGGTGTTTAAATGAAATTCAGGGTAACTTGCTCCCAGGTGGGAAGTTTTAGCCACCTAATGTAATTGTTAGCACTGTTAACAAAGCACTCTACAATGAGGTATGTTAAAGCATTGGTATAATTAATTATATGTACAATGATGTTCATCATTGTATTAAGATTATTACATCTTTTAAATAGCTTCCCTATCATTAGACCTAAATATCTCCATGTCAATGCAGAATTGTATAACTAGACAATTATGGCATTCTAATTTTAATTGGATGGTGGTTAAAGTCTTAAATATGTTTATAAGCTTTCATGTCATATGAACTATTTCGTGTAAAACAATGCAGCATTAAATTACTAAATAGGATCTGAAATCTGCAGTTTTTAAATTGAAAATAAGCTCCTATATTATGGGAACTAATGACTTGAAATCAATTCAATATCATATGACTAAACTAAACATTGGATACATCTCTTTATCTTTTATATATGTTTAATGTTTTAATTTAATTGTATACTAATATCTTTGAAAAATAAGCTGTTTCTTTATTGAAAAGTCAAATTTCTTTGCAATAGCTTTCATTTCATGAGACCCATTGACTTCCAATCCATACCAGATTTTATTTCTACGCTGGCTAAATTCTAATCGTTTCTTTTTGCTCATGGTATGCTACAGACTGTATTTAGGAGGCAGAAAAGAGACAGAGATGTGTCATGTATGCTTTATTAACATTTATACAGTTGACAACATCAAAGAGGAGACGGAATCAGTTCATAACTCTGCATAATCAGTTTTTTACTTTGATCTACTGTTGACTAAAACTCTTGGCAAGTAGGCAAGACAATAACACCACTATTACACCTCTGAAGTAATGATACTGAACCAACAGGTATTCCTCTGGCACACCTAAACTCAATTATTTCATCATGAGTGAAATATGTACTGCCATTATATTTAACGGTAATATTATGTTGTCTATTGTCGTCTTCATTCACGGTACAGGGTTCTGCAAGAGACAATCAACATAGCATTTGGATAAGGGCAGGAATGACTAAAGCATACTGCATTCACAACTTTTGCCAATGTTGGGCAATAGTTGAGCGATTTAGAGGGCTAGTTGGTGAGCTAAAATAATTGGAGAGCTGATTGCTTACATGCCAGCCAGCAGGCCCAGCACAAGTAATTCAAACTAACTCTCTGACCTTATTTCTATTTACTCTGTGCTGTGCCATTCACTCTCCCCCTGGAATTATATAAATATACATAAATACTTACATAAATATAGCCCTCTGTTAGCTTGGGAGCTTAGCTTGGTTGCTAATGTGACAATAAGCTGACAGTTTATTTGAGACACATTGCCTCTTGGCACCTAACTGTTTACAAACCATTCCTCTTTTGTTGAACAGTTTAAACTCTGGCAGAGGAGGTTAAATAAAAGGGCCACACAGCTCAAATGCTAAAACAGCTTTCCATATTTCGTACTCTGTTATTGCCATGAACGTAGGTAAGGCACAAATGACATGTTGCATAAATGGATTTCATCAATTAGGTTTCCAATCAAATTACAACATGCAACGACTCTAACCATTTTAAAATGAAGTTTGATTTTCACTTTTCAATATTGCACATGTTATTAAAAGAAGAACCTGTAACTTACGGATGCATCTCGTGTGTCCAGTCCATACACCATTGACGCAGGTTTTGTAAGGCTCTCCCTCCATGGTGTAGTATGCCTGGCACATGTATTCAACCATATCATTATGGCTGTTATTACTTTTCCTGGTGTACTTGAGGTCTCCATCGGCAATGATTGGTGCTGTGCCACAACCTAGAACTTCTAAAAAGTATATCATACAGTTCAGTTACTGGATTGTAGAAGTGACAACCATTCTCAAACATAAATATACTCTATATTTGTATGTACTGTAGACTAAAAGATAAGCACAGGAATTACAATATATATAATGATATGTAGTTTTAGTGGGGATGATCCCTTTTTATTTTGGCCTAATACCAATATGTGAGCCTTGAGTGTGAGAGGCTGCATGTGTTTAAAAGAGTATTCATAGTGTTCAGTCATGTGACCAGAGCAGAAACCCTGGCAACACCATAGAGCTACAGCAAAGGTGTAAGCAAAAGGCTGGTTGTATCTATTTTTTAACTTCACAAAGCTCCCTGCAAAAATGCTGACTTACTGATAGTGTGCATCAAGGGATCACATTGAGTGTCCTTAAGCACTTTTGACAGAGTGGCAGACCAAAGCCCTCACTGACATTGTGGGAATGCGTCCAAAGTCTTACAATGTGCTATTACCAGTACTTTGCATAACTCTGTTTATATTACGTTCACAACATATTTATTGTTGAGTTCTTATATAACATATAGGAGACAAGCTCATGTTGCTGGACATGATGCCTGAGACATTCTAGTTTTCAATAGAAACATTTAATTGTTTTAAAGAATACAAATCCATGTGAGACTGCAACTTTTGAACATGCTGTCGACATGCTAACATGCTGAATTTAACCAGGCTAAACTAAGATAGTTGACCTGATACCTTTACAGCATGCTAGCATTGCAATGATCAGGATGATAACAAGATAGCATTGTTATCTAAATGAAAGTTTAGAGTGCAGTAAATCAAGAGAGGAGCTTCATTTATCATTTTCAAGTAAACAGGCGTGTGTTGAGGGGAGAGAAAAAGCATGAAGTAGAAATTGTTCAACAGTACACATTTTGAAACTGATGAAACAGGGTCATCGAAGTAGTTAAGCAATTTAAAGTCACTGAAGATGTTATTTTTTAGCTGTTAAGAGAACACGCTAAGACCATGCTAATTAAACACCCAAAGCCAATCCCTCTATAATTTTCCTTTAAGCTGTATTTGTTGTATGATTTGTTGTTTGACTTTACCTGAACAGCTCTGAATCCCATTCCAACCATTTTCTTCACAGGTAAGAGTAACAATTATTTCAACGGTGTTCTTGCATGCATATCGGATGCGATCATTTAGGCTGTAACTTTCCCTTACAACGCCAATTTAGGTAGGGTGCAGTGGGAAAACATACAGTGCCTCAAGTGTCAGATGTATCTCTGCATTTCAAAAAAGGATGGAGTTCTACAAATGAGGGCTCAATATTTGTTGCATTGAGTTGTTGTGCTCTAATGTTGTCTAAATGTACTTGTATGTTAATGTTGTTACTATGCTTCGCATAACTAACACCCGGTGTCCTCTACAAAGGACACACAATAAAACCAAAATAAAAAAATATTTTTTTAGTTTTTGTTAGTCATGATGTTTATACCACCCTAAAGACTTGTGTGATCAAAAGAAAAAGAAGTAAATTCCTGACTGTTCCTGTGCTTAGCTGCATTTAGTTCATGGGACTCTTTTTTTTAAAAGTAGCCTTTACAGTAAACAATATAGTATATAGTAAAAACTCCCCCCCTATAGCCAAGTATGGAAACAAAATAACAGATATCTTATAAACATAAGGTTTACTTCACAATACCTTCACAAAGTGGATTTGGGTGCCATCCATCTTGGGTGCATGTGGCACTGCTGGCGCCATCTTTCCTCCTGTAGCCTGTCTCACACCCGTAACGTGTCGTCTCACCCGATTTGAATATTTTCTGCCGACGATTGTCCCATGAAGACACATGTGGGACTCCTTGTGTGCTGCACGTAACCTCTAGAATAAGAAAATGTTTTGTAAATCTCAAGTAATCCAGACATGATTGATAACCATCATCACAGTTTATGAAATATAAAAAAATAAAACAGCATTCACAGCAGTATATACCTTGGCATACAGGTCTGATAGTCCACTCTCCGTCCTCTTTGCATGTAGTTACGACTGAGGTCGGTTGATACCCAAAAATCCAGTACTTCTCTTCACAAGTTACTGTCACTTGGTCACCAGGTAGAAACGTGTTTCTATAAGCAGGTTCATAGCTGGTTCCTTTCAGCCCTGGCAGTTGTAGTTTACATGTTATTGCTGTATTTGTTGAAAAATAAACATATTATCCGTCAGAACCTATATTTATTGGGAAGTGTCACCAGTACACTGCATTACTCAGTTCTTACTTACGTTCACACAGAGGTGTGGGGCTCCATTCTGCTCTTACTCCTTGCTCTGTGCATTTTGAAGATCTGGCTTCAGCGCGTCTAAATGAGGGTTTACACTGAAACTCCAGGACTTGATTTTCTATGTACTCTTGGATTTGTCCAAGGACATCACCATTTTCAATCTCGGGTGCTGTACATATTATCCCTGTTGAATAATACACAAGCAAGAATAAAGATTTCTGAAAGGTCACCTATTATGCAAAATCCACTTTTTCATGCATCTTATACATACACATGTGTCCCCTCTGTGTAAAGAGATTCTGAGAGTTTCAGGAAAAAAGATTTGCTCACTTTTTGTCCTGATCCATTATATAAAAACCTGTCTGAAAATGAGCTGATCAGATTTCGGCCACTTTACAAGCCAATTACACAAGTTATTGGCTTGTGTAACCATTAGCCTATAACCAACCAAGGTAACACCCCCCCCCCCTTATCACCTGAATCTCCTCCTAGAGCACCATTGTGTTCTTTTTAACTAAATATCTCTCAAAAGGGCGAGGGGAGTGGCTCCTTATTTTCATCTAAAGTAACAGACAGAGAATCAGCCCTTTTGAAACAGGGCTGAAACAGAGGGGTTTATGGGATGCTACAATGCATGATCTGTTTGGTGTTTGGAGCCAAACACTTCAGAGACATGTTTTGTATATGACTGAGAACTATAATATATTGATGAAAAACAGTATAATAGGGGACCTTTAAGGTAAAGGCAAATGAAAAAGCCATAGAGTGGAATGCGCCTTGAACAACTGGAGGGGCGTGGTGGTATTAAATATTTTGCTTTTTTTACATTTTACATGGTGGTCATTATTTGCTTTTTGTTATGTTGGTGTTCTTGACAGGGTGATTAATAGTGTATGTGTGTCTGTCTACCTCTTTCCCTCTATTTTCAAATACAAATGTTTACTTTCAACAAAATATTTGTGTTTCTGCACATATCTCTGTCCTGCAGAACTATCTACATACAGAACAAAGTCCATAAGAAATTAGTGTGCTTTTGATTGAGCACCAGAGTTTGAAGTTGGTTGGAAAAAGTGTCTCGTATTTTAAATGAAGTGTGTGCCATTTGGTGCACACTTCAAGTGTTTATCCTCCAGAGACCCACCCTCCCTCCTCTGTGGAGCACATTGGGTTTTGGTCCATTACTTTGAGCTTATACATGCCACAGCATTAAGTCCAATTGTACTCCACAGAGGACATCCTGGGCTTTTCAAACATATGACATAATGTGGGGGTGTGGCTTTGAAAAAGATAATTTCATTGTATTTCAAAATGGCGTCCAACAACACAAGCACTATTTATAGAAAGAGAAATGGTAAGTTTGTCATTTTGTAATTACCAGTGTTGTGAGTTCAATATTTTTAATTAATTATAGTAAGGGAACATCTTAGGAGTTAGTGTAGTGAGTTTCAGAGCAGTGTCATACTTATTTGACCTAAAACTAACTGTTTTTAGGAATGTCCTCTGAGGAGGACATGGGGATTTGCTAACTTTTTATTTCCCCCATTTTACACAACACAAATGGAGTCCACTATGGGCCAAAACTAACACTTAGGTTTCTGTAGGGTTCATGGCAGACGGATGCAGTGGGAAAACATACATCAAGTGCCTCAAGTGTCAGATGTATCTCTGCATTTCAAAAAAGGATGGAGTTCTACAAATGAGGGCTCAATATTTGTTGCATTGAGTTGTTGTGCTCTAATGTTGTCTAAATGTACTTGTATGTTAATGTTGTTACTATGCTTCGCATAACTAACACCCGGTGTCCTCTACAAAGGACACTCAATAAAATAAAAATATATTCTATTAGTTTTTGTTAGTCATGATGTTTATACCACCCTAAAGACTTGTGTGATCAAAAGAAAAAAGCATGTGTAAGCAATTGAAAACAAAAGAAGTAAATTCCTGACTGTTCCTGTGCTTAGCTGCATTTAGTTCATGGGACTCTTTTTTTTTAAAAGTAGCCTTTACAGTAAACAATATAGTATATAGTAAAAACTCCCCCCCTATAGCCAAATATGGAAACAAAATAAAAGATATCTTATAAACATAAGGTTTACTTCACAATACCTTCACAAAGTGGATTTGGGTGCCATCCATATCGGGTGCATGTGGCCCTGCTGGCGCCATCTTTCCTCCTGTAGCCTGTCTCACACCAGTAACGTTCCGCCTCTCCCAATTTGAATGTTTGCTGCCAACGACTGTCCCATGAAGACACATGTGGGACTCCTTGTGTGCTGCACGTAACCTCTAGAATAAGAAAATGTTTTGTAAATCTCAAGTAATCCAGACATGATTGATAACCATCATCACAGCTTATGAAATATAAAAATATAAAACAGCATTCACAGCAGTTTCATACCTTGGCATAGAGGGCTGATAGTCCACTCTCCGTCCTCTTTGCATGTAGTTACGACTGAGGTCGGTTGATACCCAAAAATCCAGTACTTGTCTTCACAAGTTACTGTCACTTGGTCACCAGGTAGAAACGTGTTTCTAGAAGCAGGTTCATAGCTGGTTCCTTTCAGCCCTGGCAGTTGTAGTTTACATGTTATTGCTGTATTTGTTGAAAAATAAACACATTATCCATCAGAACCTATATTTATTGGTAAGTGTCACCAGTACACTGCATTACTCAGTTTTTACTTACGTTCACACAGAGGTGTGGGGCTCCATTCTGCTCTTACTCCTCGCTCTGTGCATTTTGAAGATCTGGCTTCAGCGCGTCTAAATGAGGGTTTACACTGAAACTCCAGGACTTGATTTTCTATGTACTCTTGGATTTGTCCAAGCACATCACCATTTTCAATCTCGGGTGCTGTACATATTATCCCTGTTGAATAATACACAAGCAAGAATAAAGATTTCTGAAAGGTCACCTATTATGCAAAATCCACTTTTTCATGCATCTTATACATACACATGTGTCCCCTCTGCGTAAAGAGATTCTGAGAGTTTCAGGAAAAAAGATTTGCTCACTTTTTGTCCTGATCCATTATATAAAAACCTGTCTGAAAATGAGCTGATCAGATTTCGGCCACTTTACAAGCCAATTACACAAGTTATTGGCTTGTGTAACCATTAGCCTATAACCAACCAAGGTAACACCCCCCCCCCCTTATCACCTGAATCTCCTCCTAGAGCACCATTGTGTTCTTTTTAACCAAATATCTCTCAGAGGGGCGAGGGGAGTGGCTCCTTATTTTCATCTAAAGTAACAGACAGAGAATCAGCCCTTTTGAAACAGGGCTGAAACAGAGGGGTTTATGGGATGCTACAATGCATGATCTGTTTGGTGTTTGGAGCCAAACACTTCAGAGACATGTTTTGTATATGAATGAGAACTACAATATATTGATGAAAAACAGTATAATAGGGGAACTTTAAGGTAAAGGCAAATGAAAAAGCCATAGAGTGGAATGCGCCTTGAACAACTGGAGGGGCGTGGTGGTATTACATATTTTGCTTTTTTTACATTTTACATGGTGGTCATTATGTGCTTTTTGTTATGTTGGTGTTCTTGACAGGGTGATTAATAGTGTATGTGTGTCTGTCTACCTCTTTCCCTCTATTTTCAAATACAAATGTTTACTTTCAACAAAATATTTGTGTTTCTGCACATATCTCTGTCCTGCAGAACTATCTACATACAGAACAAAGTCCATAAGAAATTAGTGTGCTTTTGATTGAGCACCAGAGTTTGAAGTTGGTTGGAAAAAGTGTCTCGTATTTTAAATGAAGTGTGTGCCATTTGGTGCACACTTCAAGTGTTTATCCTCCAGAGACCCACCCATTCATTTTTGTCCTCTGTGGAGCACATTGGGTTTTGGTCCATTACTTTGAGCTTATACATGCCACAGCATTAAGTCCAATTGTACTCCACAGAGGACATCCTGGGCTTTTCAAACATATGACATAATGTGGGGGTGTGGCTTTGAAAAAGATAATTTCATTGTATTTCAAAATGGCGTCCATCAACACAAGCACTATTTATAGAAAGAGAAATGGTAAGTTTGTCATTTTGTAATTACCAGTGTTGTGAGTTCAATATTTTTAATTAATTATAGTAAGGGAACATCTTAGGAGTTAGTGTAGTGAGTTTTCAGAGCAGTGTCATACTTATTTGACCTAAAACTAACTGTTTTTAGGAATGTCCTCTGAGGAGGACATGGGGATTTGCTAACTTTTTATTTCCCCCATTTTACACAACACAAATGGAGTCCACTATGGGCCAAAACTAACACTTAGGTTTCTGTAGGGTTCATGGCAGACGGATGCAGTGGGAAAACATACATCAAGTGCCTCAAGTGTCAGATGTATCTCTGCATTTCAAAAAAGGATGGAGTTCTACAAATGAGGGCTCAATATTTGTTGCATTGAGTTGTTGTGCTCTAATGTTGTCTAAATGTACTTGTATGTTAATGTTGTTCCTATATGCTTCGCATAACTAACACCCGGTGTCCTCTACAAAGGACACTCAATAAAATAAAAATACATTCTATTAGTTTTTGTTAGTCATGATGTTTATACCACCCTAAAGACTTGTGTGATCAAAAGAAAAAAGCATGTGTAAGCAATTGAAAACAAAAGAAGTAAATTCCTGACTGTTCCTGTGCTTAGCTGCATTTAGTTCATGGGACTCTTTTTTTTTTAAAGTAGCCTTTACAGTAAACAATATAGTATATAGTAAAAACTCCCCCCCTATAGCCAAATATGGAAACAAAATAAAAGATATCTTATAAACATAAGGTTTACTTCACAATACCTTCACAAAGTGGATTTGGGTGCCATCCATCTCGGGTGCATGTGGCCCTGCTGGCGCCATCTTTCCTCCTGTAGCCTGTCTCACACCAGTAACGTTCCGCCTCTCCCAATTTGAATGTTTGCTGCCAACGACTGTCCCATGAAGACACATGTGGGACTCCTTGTGTGCTGCACGTAACCTCTAGAATAAGAAAATGTTTTGTAAATCTCAAGTAATCCAGACATGATTGATAACCATCATCACAGCTTATGAAATATAAAAATATAAAACAGCATTCACAGCAGTTTCATACCTTGGCATAGAGGTCTGATAGTCCACTCTCCGTCCTCTTTGCATGTAGTTACGACTGAGGTCGGTTGATACCCAAAAATCCAGTACTTGTCTTCACAAGTTACTGTCACTTGGTCACCAGGTAGAAACGTGTTTCTAGAAGCAGGTTCATAGCTGGTTCCTTTCAGCCCTGGCAGTTGTAGTTTACATGTTATTGCTGTATTTGTTGAAAAATAAACACATTATCCATCAGAACCTATATTTATTGGTAAGTGTCACCAGTACACTGCATTACTCAGTTTTTACTTACGTTCACACAGAGGTGTGGGGCTCCATTCTGCTCTTACTCCTCGCTCTGTGCATTTTGAAGATCTGGCTTCAGCGCGTCTAAATGAGGGTTTACACTGAAACTCCAGGACTTGATTTTCTATGTACTCTTGGATTTGTCCAAGCACATCACCATTTTCAATCTCGGGTGCTGTACATATTATCCCTGTTGAATAATACACAAGCAAGAATAAAGATTTCTGAAAGGTCACCTATTATGCAAAATCCACTTTTTCATGCATCTTATACATACACATGTGTCCCCTCTGCGTAAAGAGATTCTGAGAGTTTCAGGAAAAAAGATTTGCTCACTTTTTGTCCTGATCCATTATATAAAAACCTGTCTGAAAATGAGCTGATCAGATTTCGGCCACTTTACAAGCCAATTACACAAGTTATTGGCTTGTGTAACCATTAGCCTATAACCAACCAAGGTAACACCCCCCCCCCCTTATCACCTGAAATCTCCTCCTAGAGCACCATTGTGTTCTTTTTAACCAAATATCTCTCAGAGGGGCGAGGGAGTGGCTCCTTATTTTCATCTAAAGTAACAGACAGAGAATCAGCCCTTTTGAAACAGGGCTGAAACAGAGGGGTTTATGGGATGCTACAATGCATGATCTGTTTGGTGTTTGGAGCCAAACACTTCAGAGACATGTTTTGTATATGAATGAGAACTATAATATATTGATGAAAAACAGTATAATAGGGGAACTTAAGGTAAAGGCAAATGAAAAAGCCATAGAGTGGAATGCGCCTTGAACAACTGGAGGGGCGTGGTGGTATTACATATTTTGCTTTTTTTACATTTTACATGGTGGTCATTATGTGCTTTTTGTTATGTTGGTGTTCTTGACAGGGTGATTAATAGTGTATGTGTGTCTGTCTACCTCTTTCCCTCTATTTTCAATACAAATGTTTACTTTCAAACAAAATATTTGTGTTCTGCACATATCTCTGTCCTGCAGAACTATCTACATACAGAACAAAGTCCATAAGAAATTAGTGTGCTTTTGATTGAGCACCAGAGTTTGAAGTTGGTTGGAAAAAGTGTCTCGTATTTTAAATGAAGTGTGTGCCATTTGGTGCACACTTCAAGTGTTTATCCTCCAGAGACCCACCCATTCATTTTTGTCCTCTGTGGAGCACATTGGGTTTTGGTCCATTACTTTGAGCTTATACATGCCACAGCATTAAGTCCAATTGTACTCCACAGAGGACATCCTGGGCTTTTCAAACATATGACATAATGTGGGGGTGTGGCTTTGAAAAAGATAATTTCATTGTATTTCAAAATGGCGTCCAACAACACAAGCACTATTTATAGAAGAGAAATGGTAAGTTTGTCATTTTGTAATTACCAGTGTTGTGAGTTCAATATTTTTAATTAATTATAGTAAGGGAACATCTTAGGAGTTAGTGTAGTGAGTTTTCAGAGCAGTGTCATACTTATTTGACCTAAAACTAAATGTTTTTAGGAATGTCCTCTGAGGAGGACATGGGGATTTGCTAACTTTTTATTTCCCCCATTTTACACAACACAAATGGAGTCCACTATGGGCCAAAACTAACACTTAGGTTTCTGTAGGGTTCATGGCAGACGGATGCAGTGGGAAAACATACATCAAGTGCCTCAAGTGTCAGATGTATCTCTGCATTTCAAAAAAGGATGGAGTTCTACAAATGAGGGCTCAATATTTGTTGCATTGAGTTGTTGTGCTCTAATGTTGTCTAAATGTACTTGTATGTTAATGTTGTTACTATGCTTCGCATAACTAACACCCGGTCTCCTCTACAAAGGACACTCAATAAAATAAAAATATATTCTTTTAGTTTTTGTTAGTCATGATGTTTATACCACCCTAAAGACTTGTGTGATCAAAAAAAAAAGCATGTGTAAGCAATTGGAAAAAAAAGAAGTAAATTCCTGACTGTTCCTGTGCTTAGCTGCACTTAGTTCATGGGACTCTTTTTTTTAAGAGTAGCCTTTACAGTAAACAATATAGTATATAGTAAAAAACTCCCCCCCAATAGCCAAATATGGAAAACAAAATAACAGATATCTTATAAACATAAGGTTTACTTCACAATACCTTCACAAAGTGGATTTGGGTGCCATCCATCTCGGGTGCATGTGGCCCTGCTGGCGCCATCTTTCTTCCTGTAGCCTGTCTCACACCAGTAACGTTCCGTCTCTCCCATTTGAATGTTGCTGCCAACGACTGTCCCATGAAGACACATGTGGGACTCCTTGTGTGCTGCACGTAACCTCTAGAATAAGAAAATGTTTTGTAAATCTCAAGTAATCCAGACATATTGATAACCATCATCACAGCTTATGAAATATAAAAATATAAAACAGCATTCACAGCAAGTTTCATACCTTGGCATAGAGGGCTGATAGTCCACTCTCCGTCCTCTTTGCATGGTAGTTACGACTGAGGTCGGTTGATACCCAAAAATCCAGTACTTGTCTTCACAAGTTACTGTCACTTGGTCACCAGGTAGAAACGTGTTTCTAGAAGCAGGTTCATAGCTGGTTCCTTCAGCCCTGGCAGTTGTAGTTTACATGTTATTGCTGTATTTGTTGAAAAATAAACACATTATCCGTCAGAACCTATATTTATTGGGAAGTGTCACCAGTACACTGCATTACTCAGTTAATACTTACGTTCACACAGAGGTGTGGGGCTCCATTCTGCTCTTACTCCTCGCTCTGTGCATTTTGAAGATCTGGCTTCAGCGCGTGTAAATGAGGGTTTACACTGAAACTCCAGGACTTGATTTTCTTTGTACTCTTGGATTTGTCCAAGCACATCACCATTTTCAATCTCGGGTGCTGTACATATTATCCCTGTTGAATAATACACAAGCAAGAATAAACATTTCTGAAAGGTCACCAGTACACTGCATTACTCAGTTTTTACTTACGTTCACACAGAGGTGTGGGGCTCCCAACAAACATTACCCCAACACATTTTAAATGTAGCGTTTTTAAAAATAATTTAGGGAATGAAACAGAAATAAACAGAATGAAAATTTCCCTTGAATTTTCAGTTAAACTGTAAATAATAATAGTTAAAATAAAGTGAAACAAACCATTTAGAAATGAATACTAGTCTCCAATAAAGAAAAATAAGATCACCCTTTAATGAGCAAAGATTCAGTTTTTGGGTGCTGAACATATTATCTTTGTTGCATAATACACATAAGCAAGAATACAAATGTATTTAGGAAAAGGCTCATTAAAAAGCCGTAGTGTGGATGCAGCCTGTAACAATGGGGTGTGGGAGGGCATGGTGGTATAACATCTGTTGCTGTTTTTTTAACTGCAGGTTCATAGCTGGTTCCTTCCAGTGGTGGCAGATATAGTTTTCATTTTATTGTTGCACTGTCCGTCACAGCACCAGTTTTCAGTGGTTTGTCTGATATAACAAGTCAATTGAAGTTACTCAGTTCACACATAGGTTCACATTAAGTCCTGGATATGGTTTTATTCATATATAGAGAAACAGAGGGATCATAAATAATTCCCCCTCTTGCTTACCTTCCTGTTGTAAAGACGTATCCATTTTAAGGCATAGTATAAAGAACCCAAGAAAGTAAAAATATGTCATTGTGAGGATCCAGGAATAGCTGTGCTTCTGTAATTACTTAAATCGAGTCTTTCTACACAGTGGAAAGTACAAACAATTGAATGAAACTGTCTCAGGAACACAAGTACCTCCCCCTTACAACACACACGCACGTACGCACGAACACACACACGCACACACGCACACACGCACACATGCACACACACACACACACACACACCACACACACACACACACACACAACACACACCACACACACTACACACACACACACACACACACACACACACTACACACACACACACACTCTCTCTCCCTATATATATGTTATTTGTATTATAAAACAACCCTGATATGGAAATAGTTTTTCCACCGTATTTTGCAGTATTGGAAAAATAAGTATTTCATACATTTCAGCATGCAAACAATGATTTACGTGCAGGTTATATGAGTAAGTATAACACATAAAATATAAAAAAAGTTTGTTCTCTTTCAGTTATTTAAAGAAGTCCACGAATTTGAGGACGACAGTCTGACCAGGGTTTAGAATAACTTGTCCTCCCCCTTTTACCTTCTTTAGGCTTATACGGTAATGATGTCTCTCTAAGAGGTCCCATATCCCTTCCAGTTCTCATAAATGTACACTGGCTTCCTGTCTGTGGAATAATATATTTCAAAATTACAACTTTTGGTGTATAAAGCACTGAATTGTGCAGATTACAGTAGCATGAACTGTTCTATAAATGTTGTCAATCTCTTTCCTCTGGTTTATCTTAACATGTTTGTCCAGCAAGCTCATGTCACTTCCAGTTAGCTCAATCGTTTACTGGCAGAGAGAGGGTCATCACACCTTCAAAAACATCGAACCGATCTCAATGTACCAAAGGGTATTCGTTTGACAGAGAGGGGGCAGTGGTATAAAAGTTACTAAGTAGATTTACTAAAGTACTGTACTTTAGTACAATTTTTGAGGTATTTCTGCTTTACTTGAGTATTTCAATGTTTTGCTACTTTTACAATCCCACTGCTCTAACAATTCAGAGGTATATTGTATACTTTGACTCAACTACATTTATTTAATACCTTCAGTTACTTTGCAGATATGGATTAATGATGTGAAATATAACTACACTTAAATCAGACTTTAGTTACACCTGGAGTACATTCACAAGCTACCCTGCAGTATACAGAAATATTCAAACTAGCTGCAACCTTTACCAGCTTTGATAAACACTTTATACATCAATAATTATAGTAAAATCATATATATATTATTCTGAAAAGTGCCAGTTTGCATAATAAGTACTTTTTTGATGTACTTCTACTTTTACTCAAGTACAGATCTGAGTACTTCTCCACATCTGCACAGGGGGCATTGAATTAAAAAAGACACTCACACATGCTCACTCACACATGCTCCACGGCAGCAGGGGGGCGCTACTGAGTCCATTGGGAAGGCGGGAAGGTTGAGCAGAGCATGGAACAGCCCTTGCCGCCTGATGACAGCGGTGTTTCTAGCGATCCAGCGATCTGAATTTAGCGATCACAACACGAAAACAGCCAAGACAACATATTGAGCCCAGAAAAATGAATGTTATTAGGGCTGTAAATATAATAAGCCTTTGTCTAAAATGGACAACATTGTAACTAAGGGAGATTTAAACTATACAGCTGATTCTGCAACTCGGTCATCAGCTGCTCTTCATTTTCTTTCCTGCTATATTCAATGAGTGATACAATATTTTTTAAGACCATACGTTCTGAATAAAACTGATACTGTTGGACTCAGTAACTAGTTGACTGCTAACCAGAAATAAAAAGGAAGTACTTTACTGTGTACTTTGTGAGATCCTCTATCAGAGGTCCCCTCCATAGTACATAATGCATGTTTTCTGCTATCTTTGATGAATGATAAAAATAAAATGTTACAATTAGTTCTTAATGAAATTGATACGGTTTGACTTTGTATTAGTAAGAGCCTACTACTAACAATACATTGAGAGTACTGTTTTACTGTGTATTTTTTGGAAAAATACTCTGTCAAGTCCCCTGCTGAGAACAAAATGCAGGTCTCCCTTGAAAAAGAGATCTATGATCTCATGGGACATCTGGTTAAATAAAGGTTTGAATTGAATTGAATTGAAAATCAAGCCACTTCTGCTAAGTTTGATGAGGGAATTCTTTTTGTTGCCATTAGTTCTTCGTGAGATTGATCTGTGGGACTCAGTACTACTGAAACTACCCCCCACAAGTACTATGAAGTACTTATTGTGTACTTTTCCAGTAATCCTCTGTCAATGTCCCCTCCTGAGTACAAGAATGCATGTTTTTCTTTTAATAAGCGTTAAAAAACATTTCTTCCTGAGACTGATATTGTTGGACAGAGTATTTTAAGAGGATGGTAGACATGATATCAGCAATACTTCCAGTCAGTACTCCGGCAGCAGCATTTTCACACCTTGGAAAGTCTTTAGAGTCTGGCCTGGAATGGATAGCTGGTCACAAATATCCTTCAGCAAAGTAACACACTCTGTCACATGGTTGCCCTCTTATGATGCTGCTGTCTTTTAATATATAAGTATTCCTCTGCCGCTAGTTCGTTCCTCGCAGATTCTTCAGTCTCATCAGCCTCATCCTTCCATCAGTCCACCAGTCGCCTCCAGCACACTTCCAGTATCTGACTCCATATGATATTGTCCTGATGCTGTAAGGGTGATGCCCCATGATCACAAAATGATCCCTCTAAAGTCTGAGTGCCAAGGACCTCATATTATGTCTGTCATTAATGTTACATCACCCATTATAACAATTTCTTTCCTTTTTTCTCTTCTCTTAACTGAATAGTCCTGTCTTTAAGTATAACCCAATGTAAAGTCCTTTTCCTGCACCATTTTAAGGCTTCATACTGTATGTGTTTGGAGAAATAACACAATCAATGGCCCAGAATTGTACTTTATAAACTATGAATCTTGTGTTGCTTGAAGAAATACAGACGGGTTAAGCCGGCCAGGTTATATATATATATATATATATATATATATGCCTTTTTTGGAGCCGTAACAAAAATGGGATAATTGCCATGGATGTGGTGTTTGATATAGTTTACGTTCAATTTTAACTATTTTAGGCAGAAAAACTTATATTGACGAAACCTTTTTTAATAATTTACTATAATTTAGAAAGGTTTTTGTGAGAAATCATTTCAAAAGTAAACTTATTTTTCATTTTATATTTCAATTTGAAATGTTTGCACACAACATTATTAATTTATACATTTTTATAAACATTTTAAATTATGAATCCATTAATTGTATTGTATTTCCTTGAGGCTGGGGAAGATATCCAGCATGTGGTTCAACATGTAATACAAGTAAGTATATGTACAACATGGAAAAGTAAATAAAATAAGTTTAATAGGAGGATGTGGATTTATTTTCTCTCACCTTGTAATTACACAATCAAACAATCTATAATTTAGCTCTGACCTTCACAAAAACATTTTGTTGAATTGAACACATTTTTCCAAGCTCTATTGACAGACATGCAATGACTGGGACTGATGGAAGAATCTGAGAGGAATGAACTAGGAGCAGAGAAATAATCATATTTAAAAGACAGAAGCCTCATAAGAGGCTAACAAGAGTCACAAGGGTGTGTCACTTTGCTGAAGGATATTTGTGACCAGCTATCCAGGCCAGACTCTAAAGACTTTCCAAGGGGTAAAAATGCTGCTGCTGGAGTACTGACTGGAAGTATTGCTGATATCATATCCAATGCAATTCCTGCCTTTTTTTGTTGCTAAATTACATCCTTCTGGTGTCTGTGGTTATTTAAACATTCCCTGATAAACGTTATTCAGCGTCAATAAATGAGTGCTAATCCCAGTGTGTTTAGTGTACAACATCACATGTCATTTCACCTTCAATTCACGGTTTCAAAACGTTAGCCACATGCTAATGCTAACCGGAAATGAAGGATTTTCTGAATAAAACTGCTTTTAAGCTGACGGAATGTTTAAACTAAATTATGCCATAAAACATTGATTTTAATTTCTAACAATCCCTCCTTTCACACCTTTTAAGGTGTGAACACAATACTGAAATCAATGAGTTCTTCATAAGACTGCTTTTAAACTGACGGTATGTTTTAGACTAAATTATGCCATAAAACATTGATTTTAATTTCTAACAATCCCTCCTTTCACACCTTTTAAGGTGTGAACACAATACTGAAATCAATGAGTTCTTCATCTGAACTTTGCATAGTACATAACTCATATCAAAAACATACTATCAAAATGGAATGGTTCAAATAACCGTCATCAAAAATACAAAAAATGCTTCGGTTGGTCTTCAACATAACAGTTTTCCCTTGTGCTTAAACTTCTAGTTTTAACATTCAATATCACTTTTCAAAATAGCAGCAATTAGCTTGGTATTTGAACATTTCTTTCTCCCTCCTTTCACAGAAACCGTTCTCATACCACATTCAGTGTTAAGGCACTTGTTCTTTTACAAAATATAAGGATTAAACTATCTGAAAATAGCTAAATATTACTCTTATCCTCTTCAGTTTTTTTTGCATACACCCCCTTTTTCAACTAAATTTTAGCGCCATTCTATCGGTCTGTTTTTATCTAACTGTGTCATCTTGTTACTGTGTCTCTGGTGTAATTTATGAATCTCTGCTGGTTACAGCAGATATAGTTCTCCCCATCCACATTCTTGTTGGTTATGGGACAGAGGAATAATAATTCAGAACCTGCTGATATCTGAATCTTACTACTTGGCATATGTTACAAACAAAATAAAACATCTTCATGGTGAACTAAATAACATATTTCAATAGCTCGGAAATGTCTGATGAGCATCTGTGTTATTCCTAAATAAAATCCTTGTAATCTTTCTCAAATCTAAATATAACAATGAACTATAAGACACACACTAACATTATGTAATACAATTTCATTATGGATTCAAAAACAACTGAAGTCATGATGCTGTCAGAGTGTGGTTTCCTGAGTGTATCTGTCCTGTAAGGTACGTCATTCTCTGCTTGGATCGTGTGCAGAAATCCCAT